ATACGAGAAAGCCTTCTCACCTATTTGTCTTGGTATTTGGGTGGATAATTAATTTTTTTTAAATACAGAGATACCAGTAAGCAAGGGCAAAATCAAGAGGTTGAGGGGGATAGACACATGCATTGTTTCTTTATATTAGAGTAATGAAAACTTCAGCTAATAGTTATAACATTATAAATAATCTTTCATCTTCTTTGGTGGTCTTTGAGGTTCACATAATTCCAGAGTTTAAAAAACACTTTAGTTTCTCCCTTCTTTCCCATATCATTAGTATAGTAGGAGACCATAAAAAAGTGCAGCCAGAAGGGGTTTAACTGTTACTGAGTCAACATTTGACAGTCACACTCTATTCTGTCATTTCATGCATGTGCTTTTTATGAGTTTTATAGCTTTGTGAGCTTTGTTTCAGGGATGTCCATTATAATAGCTGATCCACAGCCCATCTCTCTCTGCGTGTATGTGTGGCTGGTGGAGAGCAAAACAGCATTTACACAAATCCCAATTGCAGGGAGGTAATAGAAGAACCATCTATGCATGCACTGTTTAATTTAGGATTAGGTAACTAAGGAAATATCTGCTTGCTCCAAGGTACACTGTGTGTTCTTTTGCTTTGACTGCTCTATGAAATATCAACATAGGGTGTACACTGTAGCCTTTACAAGCACGTTGAATTTTCAGTTGCTTTACTATATAAATTGAAATAACAGAACTGGGAAATTTCTTCCTCAAAATATAGGACAGACTCACAGAATCTCATCATGCCTAAATCTTAAAAAAAAAGTAAAATGAAAAACACTGCAGATGATAGAAAAGAGAAAAAAACAATCTCAACAATTTTTAAAGTTGTTATTAAGATTCTAGTTTTTAATTTATGTTTGTCCACTACAGAGAACAGAAGATCCTAACTGTAGTAGGGAACTCAACATTCAAACTGAACTTATTCCTGTAATTCCCAACATGTTAGGGAGAATCTATCTTTTCAATTTAGTTTTCCCTATGTTTTGAAAAGTATATCTGGCTTAAAAGTTTGCAAACTAGTGGGAATCTATCCCATGTTTTAACCCTGTTTACAACTTCGGATTCTGGGGTTCAGAGAGGTTAACTGATTTGTATAAAGTGATATTGGTAACATATATGACAGAGTTTATTTAAAATGTGTTTTGATTCCAAAGCCCATTATTTGCTAACTTCAAATATGTCCTCTTCCTATAATCCCTGTAGCCTTGCCATTCAGAAAGGTTTTAACTTAGAGCGTATAGATCCATACTGACCATTTCAACTAGTTACCCATATCTCTTTAGATGTTTTGGGCTCTCCTTGTTGATTTTCACTATAGCCTGATGTTACATACAAACAGTACACACGCTCCTATTCATTATGCAAGGCACTGGATTATCCACGAAGCCAAAGACCAGCTGCCAAATTCCCCAAGTGAATATTAATACATTAATAATAGATCTTTGGATGTTGAGTTTTAGAGTTATTCCTTTGTGCCCAAGAAGCTATATGAGCTACAACTTTCTTTTCTTCTACAGATGAAACACAATTCATTTGGATTTCTGTTCAAGTCAACATAAAATCAGAATATTTTTTCAAGGAATAGCAGGTTCACTGTAGTATTTCACCTTGATCTTAACGCAGAGTTGTATAGAATTTTGTTAGCCAGTTAAGACTCATCTGTCTGATAGAAACCCAGTTGCTTTCCAGTACGTTTGGGGTTTTTTTGTTTGTTTGTTTGGTTGTTTTTTTTTTTTTTAATTCAAGAAAGAACACATATGGGTCCTTCTCTTTGGTGTTTATAAATCCCCTGGATATTCATTTTGATTACTTTGTGATAATTAATCTCTTTGAACTCTGTACATTGGGATTACTCAGAGCAGTTCAAAATGTGACTTTCTTTAAATGTGTTTCTGTGAATTTTTTTCCTTAAGGTAGGGAGGAAAAGACCGATGGGTCTTGTTAGTTTCACATGAGCATTTGAATAGTAATGAAGATGCAGTAGAGTCTAAGAGTCACACTGGATTTCTATTTTAAAGTATTGGTTTTAAAGTGGAGGCATATGCTATTTTTTTCAGTGCAAATTCTTGACTAATGGTGATTTTTGTCAAAGCCATTTGGAGTCATGATTATGAGTTGGTAAGAAATTGTCACTTGTGTGCCTATCAATATTTGTTTCCTCAATCTCAGTTACTTTGATGTGGCCTTATTTTCAACATCTTCCCACTGATGTCTTCCCTACTTGATATCTGCTGCCCTCGTTTCCTTTCAGGTGCCTCTCTCTAGGAACGATTTAATTGATTATAAGTATTGTGAGGATCAAAATATCCCCATTTTCAGTGGCAATTGTACATAAAAAAAAAATAGCCTACAGGAAAAGGAAATATTTGTGCCAAAGTACTGAGTTTTAGAGATGACGGTATATTGGTAGATTCTTTTGGGGAGGAGATGACCAGGGTTTGAGGGCAAGTGAGACTGAAAGGAATAGGGTGGAATGAATCACCCTCCAGTGTCCTGGCATTTGTGCTTTCTAACATTTGATTGATTCTTTCACTGTCTCACGCTCCCAAATAGTTTGACTTTAATTGATTGAACCATTGAGACCCATATTGAACTCCAACTCTATCTTTTGGGGTTTCAGTATATCTATACATCTGTGTATCTGTGTGGCTTCTGGTCACACGTAAATGTATATCTACCTCTGTTCATGAGCTTTATATGTAAACTTTATAACATCAATTTTCAAGTGAAATTAGATGAGCTTTATTTCCCACCTGGGTGGTTATTGCCACTTGCTCCTTACATCAGTTTCTCTGTCTTCTGAACTTGTGGTCCACTGCTGCTTTGTGTAACTGTAGCAGTGGTACCCTTTGAATTTATACACCATGTGTTTTAATTAAAGGAACAATACACATTCTCCAACTTCTCCAATTTTCTCCCCCTTGTTCACATTTGTGAGAATGATTAGACAGAGAGTTACAAAATCGGAGTAGCTTACCATGTTGATTTCTACTGTCTTTCCTGAGATCCTCTTGACAAGAATAATAAACTCCACTTTTGGTTAGCTGATTCAACCATGTATTATGCTATGTGCTTTAAAGGTGAGTACTTTAAGAGGTTACTTATGGTAAAAAGTGACTACAACTGCCCTGTTGTCCATTTGCTAATCTTAGTCCCTTGTTAAGATGACATACTATCTGTAGAGCTGAACCTTAGGAAGTACTTAATGTTTCATTCCTTTTCTACTCTGATTGCCTTCATCTGCTGTTTCTTCTTGAAAAACTTTGGTTCAGAATGGAACACTCTCTAGAAAGTATGTGGTACTCTTTCTCTCTACACCATTAAACCAGAACCTTAAAAGTGATCCATGCCCTGTGCATTCCCCAAAGAGAGTATAGTAAATTCTTCATGGACCCTGGAACAATACGATTGCATTGATAGAATGTGTATTTTTAATACAACTTTTCTTTTAATAGCAACATTTACTGTGAAAAGAGCCTGTTAAGCTAGTATTCTTGGAGTTCCTGAGTCTGCTGAAGAATATGCAGCAGTCTCTCTCTGCAAAAGAAATACATACTGCATAAAGCAGCTGAAAGCACCAATTTCACACCCAGAACAAATTGGGTCAGATGCTACATTTTAAAATGTGTAACTGCAAGTTTAATACTACATAAGTCTATAGAACTAAAGTTAATATAAACTGTTTTCTGTTTCATTTCCCTACTGTATTATAAACTGATTGAAATTTTAAAAATGTTTTCCATTAAATCATGTACAGACTTTGATGAATAGAGTACAGGAGTTCCAAGGCCACTGACTTAAGAGGATTTTCAATCTAGTCACTACAATTGTAGCATTGTCAGATTTTGTGGAGATAATGCATGTACTGTGTTAATAATTTCAATATCCTGTTAGTTATTGGTGAGAACATTAGTTGGTCTTTTTTACCCCCAATTGTTATTTCCTGTGAACATTTTATTGTGCCAATAATGGTTCTGCAGCATTTGTAGTTTATTAGTGTAATTCAGAATTGTGTTCTTTAGAAAATGGGTGAACAATTACAAAGAAACTTGAGCAAATGTTATGAGATCCAATAGATGTTTTTCTTAAAACTGTTTTGGAACCACATCATCCTCACAGCAACGCTGGAAAGTTTGACAGAAAGTTGTCAACTTTTCCTTATATGCTTTTTCTCTTCTTAAGATCACCCAATTTCTTAATTTAGAATCAATTTACTATCTTATGTGGGGTAGCTTAGGCATTATATTTTCCTTGAACATAATTCAGTTTGTAAGCCATGTTCTCCGTGAATGCAAATCATGCGCTGCATGCTTCTAAATGACTTGATGTCTTTGCAGATCTAATTTTGTATATTTGTATCTCAAATAATTCGCCAACTCAATATTTTGGCTTAGCAATCCAAATCAAATTGTGGTCCAAGTAGCAGGCACTCACACTGGATGTACAGAGACTTGACAAGCAATTAGCAATGAATATTTAAATGTCTTCATTACCCTTGCATGAGAAATTGCAGATGGCATTTAGGGAGATGGCAACCAGAGGGCACTACTGTGAATTCTGTTTCTGTCATTTGGTCACCTGACTATTGGAAGACTCTCTCTGGGCCCCATGCCATTCCTATACTTCTACTGTCTGGCTAGAAATAAAGGAGGCTTTCCAAATGTAGAACAGGTTGCTTCTATAAAATTTCAATGCACATTTTGTGATTTGGGAAGGTTCTATCTGAGGAGCCCAGCGTATCTCCTTCAGGCGCTCAGAACTCACACGTCAAGTCTATAGGGTTTTATAAGAATCAAAGTTCCTTCAAAAGCCCTGCTCTGCATTTCCTTTAATCTGCGTGGTATAATGTGATGAATGCAAAGGTGAGTAGATCAATATTCCATCCCTCCCAGAAGCAAATGTATTGTAGATGGCCTAGAGAAATATCTTTGAATAATTACAGTTTCAAAATTCAGCTCTCATTTCGAATTTCTTCATTTAAGGAGAAAACAACACTGGAAAGTCTGACTCAGCAACTGGCAGTGAAACAGAACGAAGAAGGGAAATTTAGCCATGCAATGATGGATTTCAATCTGAGTGGAGATTCTGACGGTTTGTGAAAATTATTTGTATCTGTTCAAAGTGCAAAAGTATGTGTTTATGTCAATCAAAATAGGCAAGACGGTCACATCACACCTGGGCATCAGAACAGGCGCTCACATACACTGAGCACGTAGAGCGTGGGCCAGCACCCCAATGAGTTCACACTCAGTAGAGCTTCTCTTAATCCCTGCCACAAACCGTAACCTCGGAGTTTGGAATCAGCCTTTTCCAAAGGTTACAGAGCTCTAAGTGCAGGTGGCTTGACTTGGACGCAAGGTGGCATGATTCTAAAGCAAATCCCCTTAATCGCCATCTACCCCAACTCTCACTTGCCTGTCTTATGCCTGAAAGTTTTCAGAAGAGACTCCTGTTTACCTGCTCACTTTTTAATTCCACTCTGTCAAACCATGACCAGAAAACATGATCCAGGGGATGTTTTTTGAATTTTGAGACCCTCGTCTCCTATCCTCTTTGCCACACAAATGCCCTGCCTTCTTGCTGTAACCCATCTAGAGCTCCATCTGCACAACACCCTGCTCCCTTTATACCTAAAGTTTCTGTCACCTCCTCTGAACACCCAGATAACAAGGACCGCTAATTGAATGGACACTAACTTTAATAGCATGGGAAAGAGGGAAACAGAAGAAAGTGCTGTTATACGGTGCCGCTGTATAACCAGGGGCCTCTCTTTAGCCTCGCAACTTCACTGCTATTACAGAGGAAGTCCCTTTCCTATGGAAAAGGCTGCGCTGGGCCAAAGTAGTGAGAGGTGAACTGTTAACAGAGAGAGGGTCCTTGACAATCCTGTAATGTACACAGTGTGATCAAAATACTTGGTGAATATTAAGTTTTCCTAGAAATGTATTATGTAAAGGGCACATTGCCAGTAACCCCCTCAAGACACTCTCCCTGGCTTTCAAGACACTCACCCCATCATTCTTGGCGCTTTCTGAAGCAGTTTTAGAAGCCTTCTTTTCAGTCTTTATGATGGGTGACCAGGAATACAGTGAACGCCGCTGCAGGCTCATTAAAACATTGCTCCATGTCCTTATCCGTCTTACTCGGTGGATCTGGCGCTGTGTGACTTCTGGGTCTTTCGTAACGTGAGAATCACCATGAAAGGCAAACAGTTTTAATCAGTTCAGTGCATGGAGGCAGACACAAGAGCACAACTGAAACATTCATAAAAGAAGACTTCCAGAATAGCTTCAGAAGGAGGCAGGCTTGGTGGGATAAGTGTGTTCAAAGTGAGGGGAAACATCTTGAGGGAGATTAACGGCAATATGACTTTTGGTGTAATACTTTCCTTTACATTGAGATATTCACCATATATTTTTATCACACCTCACACATAGCTGCCTAGTCTGTGCCTAGGGATAATTCTACTTAAATTGTCAAGGTCTGTATGTACCAGCCAAGAACTAGCCAAGCTTGAACGTTTAGCTTCATATTCGTTAAAACTCTGTTCAGGTGGATAGCCAAGAGAAATGTGTTTTCTTTCATCTAATGCACCTGAACATTTCATTCTATTTCCTATTTTATCAGCTGGGATAAACCCGTCTAATACATGCAAAATGCTTTTTTTAGATTTGATGAAGTCACGCACTTCTTTTATTGCCTATGTTGCTGTAAGGTGTAGGAACAAGAAAAAGCAGATGTGCAAATGATCATTTGCTAGTTACAGAGCCATTTTAGAAGGATGTTACCATATATAAGCACTCATTTTTGTCAGTAAAAAGACAATTACTGGCAGTAACACATTTCATAAATTTTAAGTTGTTTTAGCATAATAAAATATGCCCAATGGTAATCAGCATTAAAACATCAAAGTTTTCTCGATGTTATTTGTTAAATTCAGTCATGCTTGTATGCAGACTATTTTCCACTCCTGCCATGAGCATGTTAAGAATGAGAAATAATGAGACACTCTACCAACAGACATGCTATTTTTACTTGCTGCTATAGAGGGCTTCAAGTCTGGGTAACTTTGGTTGATTATGTCCCTTTAAGAAAAGAAAGAATATGAACGCAGAAAAGCAAAGTAGTGCTTGTGTTGATAATACAAGTTCTAGAACTCCCCAGAATATTTTAAATTTTTCTCCATATTTTTATTGCCTAAACTCATGTATCTTGGAAGCTGTCTACCAAAGCCATTCTGAGAAATTACGTGGGGCTCTGAGAGTGAGTGCAACTTCTACAGATTTCAGTGTTATTCATGAGATTAGTTTTACTATTTTTTTATTGAGTTTATTGGTACAATCTAGGTCTCCAACACAGTTACATTCATTACTGGGATCCTGTACCTTCACATGACAGTTCTTGGTTCTCATTTTTTTCCCCTTGTCCCTGTGCTCCCTTCACCCCCCTCTTCCCCTCCCCATTAACAAACTCTTTATTTCCATTTTTTAATTTTCTCATATTTTTTCTTTTCCCTTATTTCCTTGCCCTAGTTTTATTATTTTTATTCTGATTATAACTATCAGTGGATCTCTGGAAAACGTCAGATGCTAAAAGTCAGGGGGATATGTTACATTTTTCACCTTATCCATGTGACTATAGACTTCCTAAGAAACTATGGTAGTAATATATTTACTTCTTTTCTCTACAATTTTCAAATATCTTTTGGGGGGCAGACTGTCATTGTTGCATCAGCATATCCCATGCATAGATTAGCATGTAATTTCAAAGAAAAGCCAAGTACATTAAAGGAAAACCTCTATATTGTATTTTGACCTCAAAATTCTGTCCAGCCTGTTTTTATTTGTGTAACCTAAAGGAGATAAGGTAAGGATACTTTTAAGTTCTGATACTCTTTAAGTAGCAAAGACATATCCTCACCTTCAACAATCCATCTGTCACACAGACTACTTTTCATAGTTTTGTCAGCCTCTTGCCATTTAATATTTCTACCACACCAGAATGCTTATTGATGTAGTCTATTGTCTGTCTTTCCAAATTACATCAAAAATCATATATACCAGCTTCTTGTGAGCTCTTAAATGTACATAGTGAATCAGTCTGTAGCCTATTGAAAGGGAAGATAAATTAGAAATGGATTCAAAATACAAATACAACATTTGCCACCACAAGGCTTATCATAAAAACTTTATAAACAAGCATCTGTCTTGAGAACTGGAAGTACCATGATCAGAAGTGCTTTTTTGTTTTTAGATATTTTAATAGACCAAAAAAGAGAGTTGCCAAAAGTTTTAACACTGACACGCATGATGTTCCTGTTTTTAGGAAGTGCTGGAGTTTCCGAGTCAAGAATTTATAGGGAATCCAGGGGGCGTGGTAGCAATGAACCCCACATAAAACGTCCAATGAATGCTTTCATGGTGTGGGCTAAAGATGAACGGAGGAAAATCCTTCAAGCCTTTCCTGACATGCACAACTCCAACATCAGCAAGATACTGGGTAAGAAAACACAGAATTAAGTGATATATGCATAAATGTACAGTTCCGGGTTTTTTTTTTTTTTTTTTTTTTTTTT